TGGAGATATCTCAGGGGGTTTGGAGGTTTCCTTGCCTTCTGAGCTCCACCTGGAGGTCCATACTGGAGATCATAACCTTCTGGGGGGTCCCGTGGAAGGTCCCAGAGGAGTTCAGCACTGCGAGGCCAAAGAGAGATCACCCGGAGAGGAGCTGGGGAGAGGGCAAAAGTCACCTGAGATGCAACCAAGAGACAGCTGGGACCTCCAAAAGAAACCTGGGACCCACAAGAGACACCTGAGATCCCACTAAAGGACACCTGGGACCCACAAAAGACACCTGAGATCCCACCAAAGGACACCTGGGACCCACAAAAGACACCTGAGATCCCACCAAAGGACACCTGGGACCCAAAAAAGACACCTGAGATCCCACCAAGAGACAACTGAGACCTCCAAAACACACCTGGGGCTCCTCAAATCCTTCTGGAACTGTCCAACCCCCCCAAGAACCTCCCAGAACCAACTTGGGACCTCCTGAACCTTCTTGGTGATGGTCATGGAGGATGATGGTGGAGGAGGAGGAGGAGGAGGATGGGTTGATGGGGATGATGATGGTGATGGGTTGATGATGATGATGACGGGTTGATGATGATGATGGTGATGATGATGGTGATGGTGATAATGATGATGATGATGATGGTGGTGATGGATTGATGATGATGATGGTGATGGGTTGATGATGATGATGGAGATGTGTTGATGGTGATGACCATCACCTGTTGATGGAGATGATGTTGGATGGTGGAGGAGCACAATGATGGATGGTGGAGGATGACGATGATGATGATGATGGTGATGATGATGATGATGATGATGGACACCATCTCCGTCTCCTCACTGGGTGGGCAGGACTGTCCAGTCTGGATGGGTTGGGGATGGACCTGGTGGGATCTCCACGGTGAATGGAGCTGAGATCCCCTGAGCTCTCCAACCCTTCGTGTCCTCTGATCCTCCTCTCACCTCTGGGCACCTCCAAGGGGATGTCCTCAGCCTGGGCAGACTCGGGCTGAGCCTCCAAGGAGGGCACTGGCGGCTCCTCAGAGGGTCCTGAGGGCGCTGGTGGCTTCTCAAAGGCTTCTGAGGGCACTGGTGGCTTCTTAGATGGTTTTGAGGACACTGGTGGTTTCTTGGGGGGG